TTATAATCACCTCTGTGTTGTGCAGCACAGATTAGCTTGTTAGTTAGCCTCTAGAGGTGTGCAGCGTTCAGGTAGAAAATACAACACAGAGCCGGGCAATATGTCTTACCACCACCACCACCAAGAAACTTTTGAAAAGAAATTCATAATTATTGATGTGTCACAAGATGACACCAAACCTGCAGACAAGCCAACAAGGACTTAAAATAGGGCTTCAATGATATATATTTTCAGGCCTATGTTTCCTCAGTGCAGGGATTGTATAATAACAGAATTAAGATATCTTATATAATACATGTTATCAAATACACTGCAGTCTTTTTTTCCCAAGGTATTTCCAAGGTCAAACATAGACTTCCACGCTCATGCTGCACCCTAATCATACAGGAAGTGGAAGTCACTGATGAAATGATATATATTTTTATAAAAAGACCATATATCAGATATATCATTAAGCCCTACTTCAGTGTATCCCGCTACAGAGCTCACTAACCTAATATCCAAACCCAAGCAAACCCAAGCCAGCAGCAGAGGAAACGACAGGCGCTAGAGAGCACTGAAGGACACCAGTCAGCATGAACCTGGAATGCGACGTGCGAACGCCCCAAAGCCCGATCCAGTCCTGACCTACCCTGGATGGGACTGCAGGCTGCCGTCTGTCCTGTGTTGAGAGCTGAGTGAGGGTCATCCTCCAGCAGCCTGTACAGCGTGTCTTTCCCCTCTCCAAAACTGCCATCCTGCTGCCCACAGCCGCGCACAATGACCATGTACTTCTTCTGCAACAATGCTTGTCCCGTACTAGAGGCCTCAGCCCTGGCTAGCACACATGGCCACAGTGAGGAGTTCACAGGTGAAGTCAATGACTTTCCAGATTTGTTCCTTTAACTTGTACAAAAGCTGACACAACACTGGGTGCCTGTTTCACTGCAGGTCTACAGCCTTACTTACCCATGCCCTTCTCTTTCTGCAGCCAGTCAACCAGCTGATCACCTGAGAAGCTCTTTTTGTACACTGTCAGTCCCCTCCTATGACTGCCAATCACATTGCCATGTTTGAGGTCCTCTACCAGGTCTGCCAACTCATCCCTCTCACACATAAACTCTGCGAGAGCAGGAATATGCCAAGCCACACATGGACAAACACACAAATACACACATGTTCATACCCGCAATTATGAAGGAATATCTGCAGTCCGGCTTGTGTGTAAAAAATGTATCTGGTTGCTGGGAAACGTAGCACCTGGGTCAGTGCTTATTATTCAGTATGGTTGATTTACATTTCTCAGAAAGAGGCCAGACACCAAAGCAACAAATTACTCACTGTATATGTAAGGACAGTTTAACTTGGATAAAAATATGACGTGTCTGTTAGAAATCATTTTTTAAAGTCCATAAAAATCCATAAACACAGATTCACAGAAAATAAATAACATTAATTTTGTTGCCATTTTTACATATTAAATGTTTAAGGGATGTCAGAGCTAATACACATGTTGTCAACAGGCAAAATCCTCAAGTATGTCCATTTATTTTCATCTAAAATCCAGACAAAACAGAATTGAATCTATGTGGGTTGTTTAGACTGACAACAACTGAGTGTTTGTTTAGCACTACATTAACACTGGGCTGCACAGTGGCCTATATGCACCCTGTAGCAGCCCAAAGCTGGCCAGTATTGCTAAAACAACATCCAGTGTAGTATCAAATAAGATATCATAAAGTCCATTAAGGAGGCAGGGACTAATTAAATAAACACTTTAGCATAATGACAGAAATATGAGGGACATAATTCCTTATTTGGAGGCAAAACTGAATTAAACATTTCTCCACAAAAGGCTGTGTAAGCATCCCTTTGGACAGACTTTGTTGACACAGTAGGGAGTTTAATAATCACATATAATGAGGCAGCCTGGTGCTGCAGGGCTCATCCAGAGTATCAAGTTTCCTGTATCAACTGTCTGTGTTGGCGATAGGGGCAGGAGATGAGCGTGGGCACACCATGTCCGTACATGCCAGCACTAGTTTTACACTATAATTCTAACTATAGTTCATCTGAGTCAATGCCTCACATTAGGGAGGATTTCCCCCAGTGGGGTGGTTAATGTCACCATTTCATAACCTATTTTTAAGCACTCTAAACCACATCTGAAACTAATCGTGCAAAATTAAGCAATTTATCCACCCCGATCCTCGAAAAAAAAGGGACTGTACAATAATAGTTAGACACACTATGAACTGTGCATTAAGAACAGGTTAAGGACAGGACATTGGGATTAAATTTTTCTGCACCAACACGTGAAGGCAACAAAGTGATCTGGAAGAAGCAAAAACCCTTTACTTTTTTCCAGACCATTAAATTCCTCACCTCCATCAGTCTCCCCAGCTGTCTCCTCTTGCTGGTTCTCCTCTGGTAGTGGTGGAGCATCTGCTGGAAGAGGCTCTTTCTTGACCAGATTCACCAACCTCTGCAGCTCCTCAGGAGCCTGGAGGCGTGACACAGATTGACACATGCATACATGAAGTCTCGACACAATTTAAAATAATAATAGATGCAATTAGGATTTTTTTCGACACATTACATTAAGTTAATTAGTCACTCAGGGAAGTAGTATCTTTAGGCGTTTTTACTCCTTCTCACCAATTTCTGTAGGTCGTCGTTGCCCCCAACGTGAATGTTGTTAAAGAAGATCTGAGGGACTGAGGTGCGTCCTGTCAGCTCCTTCACCCTGGCTCTTAGCTCTGGATGCCTCCCCACATCCACGTCACATACCGGTACTCCCAGACGCCCCAGGGTGGCTTTAGCCTGCACACAGTGCGGGCACCCCTGGATGGAGTACACCGTTACCCGGCCCAGAGCGCTGCCCTCAACCTCCTCCATCTGCAGCAATGATGGAAAGACAAGAGGGCAAAGAGTTTTAAGTTGAAGCCTTCCAGAAAAAGTTGGCTGAGCTCCATGTTTTCTCACCAACATCAAGTTTTACATGTGTGCAAATTTACCTAAAAACTGTTCTTACCTCGTGTTCCTTTTTCTGCGCTTGGCTACTGAGTGAGTGTGAACTACACAATAGGTGCTTCATCCGACACATTATAACTATGTTCAGTTCCTATTTTACATGAATCATTGAATGCACCTTTTGGCCTAAATGAAGCTTTAAACTCCTGCCCTTCTATGGGTCAGCAGGTGGTTTCACATGTTCACTGAGAGAGTTCATATAATCATACATGCACAAAAGATTGGGAGCAAACATGTGAGACTACTTTTGTGTACATATAAACAGTCATGAAAAACAACTCTATTTTTCTACCTTAGATGAGATATTGCACATGCAAGCATTTCTGGTCTTTATACTACCTGAAAAAGGAATTGTTTTCTCTTTGCTACACACACAGTGGTGACACTGATAGTTTGATTCAGATGAATTGGTTCCAGTTTAGGGTGTTTACTTTAGGGCTCGTGTTTTGTGTGTCGCCAATGAAGGTGGCAGTTCTCCAAATGCTTTTGCACAATACTGAAGGAATCAAGTTCTTGTCCTCAAGTTTCTGTACACTGAATGATATCAAATTGCAGTTTACAGTGGTGGTCTTCTGGCCAGTGAAGGGATTTAAACCAGCAGTCTCACAGTCCCGGATAATTCAAGAGAGGTGATTATGAGGAATTGAGGAACTTCTCTTGGCACAATGTCCTCTCAGCTAATTTCTAAACATTTCCTTGTGTTGAAAGCAGGCCAATGCAATGTGTATTTCAACTGTGTGAAATGTTAGTAACTGACTTTGCATGAAGTTTAGCAATGGCAGTGTTCCTCATTCTTTGTGACAAGGCTTTAAGCCAGCAGTCAGTCAATATTAGTCTGGGCTTATCAGTGCTGGATCAAACCACACCTCATGCTGATGCTTATAAAATAGGTCAAGGTAGTTTATACACCAGTTTCACAACTTCTTTGCTTTCCTTTCTGAAGTAATAAAGCAGTGCAATTTTTAAATTTGAGAATTGGTTTAGTACTATTTTCCACATGCAATTCTCTAACTCAGATACTGAATAGTAATAAATTCTTCCAAATGTTGATGGGAAATGACTGCAGATAAACAATGTACTAAATCTAGAGATTGTTAACCCGAATTCTAGAGTGACATTTACTGTCTTAGAAAAAGTAAAAATTTAAGGGGTTTAGACCATTACCAACAAGCTACGCTAACCTTATTTTAAATCCCAAAAGTTTTTAATGGAGTTCGGCACGGGTAATGTAATGCATGTTTGTTTCAATAACTAAAAAGCATTATAACCGACATATCTATCAAGAGTGAATAAATAATTACACAACTTGTTTAGTGACATGTGTGTAACACTTTTCACCGCTGGATATAGCTTTAACCGTATAACGTTAATGACTAGAGAATGACGTTAACAAGCTAATGTGGATATATTAGCTAATGATAATAACGGTGCGTTACCTTTCAGCGTTTGACTCCCTCGCTTAATTCGGCTGTACAATTTAAAATCGCACAACTGCTCCCTTTAGTCCTGTTAATTAAAACATATTAGTTAATACGTATGTTAAGTATAACGCCAGCTGAGAGGTCGCTGATCTTGCAGGTAAATTACCCAGCTGCACTGGCAGGACATCATTGCGCAGGCTAGCCCATATTAGCTGCTTTAGTTAAGCTAGCTATCTTGTCTGATGAGACGTTCAGGTGCTCCTCGAAAACTTAAAACTCTAGAGCGCTTGACTAGAAATCTTATCACGCATAATTTCATCTTTTGACATAACAGTAGATGATTTCCTTTGTAAACTCTACCGTTCTACCGTTGGGGACAGACCTTTAAAAATGGGACAGACAGTATGTGTCTGGTTAGCTAGTTAGGGTTGTTTGTCTGAATTCAAGCTGAGACGCCAATAATTCCCACAGTATTAAAGGCATCTGCTGGGTGTACTGTCATACCGTACCAACCGTTGCTTTGCGCGGAACCATTCACAACTAACTCATGTTCCTGTACGGAGAAATCCCCAGTAGGACAGGAATGGACCAAGAGGAGCTGATTTTCCTGTTTGGGAGTGTCGAAGATGTCGGGACTATCAGTTACAGAGCGCGTTGGCTGTACAAAATTATTGAAGTTAATCTCGAAAGAGGACTTATTGTCACTTAGTGATACGGTCACGAATAAAATGATAGTTGTGGAGAATGTTACAGGTATGTTTGCAATGTTTACCAGATAGCAAGGAGCAAGCAAGCTAGGATATTATCAGTAAGCGTTAAATACATTCTGTTTTGTAACACCGACATTCTTGACCTGCTATGTTTTCTGACCCGTTACCATAAAAAAAACGTTAGGTTTTTAGTGGTTAAGGTGTTTAGGTTTAAGGGCGGTGTCACGGACTCTGACAGAATTCAGTGTAGCACATTTTCCTATATTTCAACAGATTTAGCAAGCTAATGTCAAACATACAGTACAGGCCAAAAGTTTGGACACACCTTCTCATTCAATGCGTTTTCTTTATTTTCATGACTGTTTACACTGTAGATTCTCACTGAAGGCATCAAAACTATGAATGAACACGTGGAGTTATGTACTTAACAAAAAAAGGTGAAATAACTGAAAACATGTTTTATATTCTAGTTTCTTCAAAATAGCCACCCTTTGCTCTGATTACTGCTTTGCACACTCTTGGCATTCTCTCGATGAGCTTCAAGAGGTAGTCACCTGAAATGGTTTCCACTTCACAGGTGTGCCTTATCAGGGTTAATTAGTGGAATTTCTTGCTTTATCAATGGGGTTGGGACCATCAGTTGTGTTGTGCAGAAGTCAGGTTAATACACAGCCGACAGCCCTATTGGACAATTGTTAAAATTCATATTATGGCAAGAACTAACTAACTCAGCTAACTAAAGAAAAACGAGTGGCCATCATTACTTTAAGAAATGAAGGTCAGTCAGTCCGGAAAATTGCAAAAACTTTAAATGTGTCCCCAAGTGGAGTCGCAAAAACCATCAAGCGCTACATCGAAACTGGCACACATGAGGACCGACCCAGAAAAGGAAGACCAAGAGTCACCTCTTCTTCTGAGGATAAGTTCATCCGAGTCACCAGCCTCAGAATCGCAAGTTAACAGCAGCTCAGATCAGAGACCAGATGAATGCCACACAGAGTTCTAGCAGCAGACCCATCTCTAGAACAACTGTTAAGAGGAGACTGCGCCAATCAGGCCTTCATGGTCAAATAGCTGCTAGGAAACCACTGCTAAGGAGAGGCAACAAGCAGAAGAGATTTGTTTGGGCCAAGAAACACAAGGAATGGACATTAGACCAGTGGAAATCTGTGCTTTGGTCTGATGAGTCCAGATTTGAGATCTTTGGTTCCAACCGCCGTGTCTTTGTGAGACGCAGAAAAGGTGAACGGATGGATTCCACATGCCTGGTTCCCACTGTGAAGCATGGAGGAGGAGGTGTGATGGTGTGGGGGTGTTTTGCTGGTGACACTGTTGGGGATTTATTCAAAATTGAAGGCACACTGAACCAGCATGGCTACCACAGCATCCTGCAGCGACATGCCATCCCATCCGGTTTGCGTTTAGTTGGACGATCATTTATTTTTCAACAGGACAATGACCCCAAACACACCTCCAGGCTGTGTAAGGGCTATTTGACCAAGAAGGAGAGTGATGGAGTGCTGCGGCAGATGACCTGGCCTCCACAGTCACCGGACCTGAACCCAATCGAGATGGTTTGGGGTGAGCTGGACCGCAGAGTGAAGGCAAAGGGGCCAACAAGTGCTAAACACCTCTGGGAACTCCTTCAAGACTGTTGGAAAACCATTTCAGGTGATTACCTCTTGAAGCTCATTGAGAGAATGCCAAGAGTGTGCAAAGCAGTAATCAGAGCAAAGGGTGGCTATTTTGAAGAAATTAGAATATAAAACATGTTTTCAGTTATTTCACCTTTTTTTGTTAAGTACATAACTCCACATGTGTTCATTCATAGTTTTGATGCCTTCAGTGAGAATCTACAATGTAAATAGTCATGAAAATAAAGAAAACGCATTGAATGAGAAGGTGTGTCCAAACTTTTGGCCTGTACTGTATGCATTTCATGTAGCATAAATTTAAAGTTTGTACGAGCGGTTGTTAAAATATTCACTCCATTTTGTTCCACCAAAACACATAACGTGAACTAATTCCCGGAGGTTTTAGGAAAACGAAACTGTAAAGTAAGCTACCGTTAGGCTTCATATAGACAATACCTTAGTAATGAACTAAGATACTGCATAAGAGTGAATTGCCTTTTAAATAAGGATATTGGCATGAACTGACAATAGGGATTGCTAATGCTATTTCACTTCTGCCTGAAGGCATGTTCAGATAATAAAACCATCCAATTCTTTTACCCCTTATGCTCATCTCTTTCCACAGAGGCAATGGAAACAATTCTTTCCTTCTCTAAAAATGCCGAGGAGCTCCTGAAAAGGAAGAAAGTTCATCGTGACCTCATATTCAAGTACCTGGCCAAAGAAGGTGTGGCGATGCCTGCGAACACCGACAAACACCAGCTGGTGAAAAGGACACTGCAGCTTTGGTCGTCTGGGAAGGTAGGGACAGGAGATAGGAGGTCAGGGGTGAGGGAAACTCTGTGTTTCAGTTCCAGGGAGAGAGATAAATTAAACTCTGGGTTAGTTAATGACTAACCTGCTCGCTGTCCAGGTTTCCTTTAAAAAAACCCTGAGTTCCTCTCCGTCTCCTCCCTCTGACAGAGGCAGACACGCTGTTTCATTTCCTCCTTGATTCAGTCTGCATCAAAGCACATTAATTAGCCAAGATTTACTATCTGTCACAATCAAAAACCTGGTTTGATATTAGCTTGTTACTCAGGACTATCTTAACTTCCTGGTTGTGTACGCTGCCAGTCGTACGCAGCATCAGGTTGTCCTCAGCTCAGATACAAACCTCTGTATGTCCTTTTTTATTACACTGAGGACAGCTGTCAGTTTGTTATAGCATTCCCACTAAAATATTTATTGCACATAATGCGTCATTTCAGTTTAAATTGTAAAAGTCGCTATGAAGCTTTAGACACGTAGGATCAATAAATAATCATCCCCATAACTTATGATGCGATTGGTGGCATTGATGGAACATAATTCCTAAAATCTTTGAGGTTAAATGTTAATATTTAGAGTGAGCAGGATCGTGGAGCTGCTGAGGAATGTGAACATGATTTTTTTTTTTTTTTCAATAGACAGTGTAGAGTCTGAACATGTTTCGTCAGCATCTCACTTAAAATGTTTAAATTTACTGCCTTTGTTGCCATGTAGCTGAAGTAAAGCCACTGAATGCTCCACTGTAACCTTTTACTCAAGTGCAAATCACCAACCACGTTATTTCTGGATCCGATTACAATCACGTCTCTAGGCCTCTGTCCTTGATTTTTATTTTTATACCTTCAGTTTGTTTTGTTTTTATCCCTGTCACATCAAAGCTGACCAAACTGATTTTTAAATTGTAATGTAGACTGCAACCTAAATGATGAGTTATTGAACAACACTTTATGTGCTAATTTATCAACCCTTTGCCCTGCTCCAACTCAGGTTCTTAAAACAATAAATACATGTGCACAGTTCGTATACAGGACAATTAATAATATTTCTACATCCACTGGATTAAAGTGGAGGGTCTGCCTTTTATTTACCTGTTGCCATGGTGAATCACAGTATCAGACCTCTCTTGATGATGGCTTTTTTCATTCACTGCACACATTCTCAACTCAGGGTGAACATACTCAGAATTGATTGGACAAATTGTGTTCAGCTGTACTGGAACCAGGAACCAGTATCAGATTTCATCAACTCAGAGTTCAGGGTCCGACTGGACTGTGACACTGAGTTAAGTTGTCAATAATTAGCTGTTGACAGCTTGTATTATTGAAACGTGTACTGAAAAGTAATCCAGACACAACTTGACCATGTGTTTGAATATACCAATAACGTCTCGTTTCTTTAAGGCCATGGATGAAACCAAACAGAGACCGCCCACACAGACAGTATCCACAGACGAGAAGACTGGGGTGGGCTTTGACCCCATGGTCCTTGGCCAGCAGTTCTGCCAGTGGTTCTTCCAACTCTTAAACAGTCAGAACCCCTCGCTGGGCCAGCCGCCTCAGGACTGGGGACCACAACACTTCTGGCCAGATGCAAAACTACGCCTCCTGTCCAAGTAAGAATGCCATTAACAGAACATTAATTTGAATTAAGCTACTTGTAGTTTTGGGCAGGACTTTGTAACACCAATTGTCTGTTTTTTCTACAAACCAAGTGTCATCATAACAATTTGATAATGTGATAAGCACCAAAAAATTGTACATGTACAGTAGGAGCTTAAACTTGACCTGTATTTTACACAGTAAAAACATTTACAGTTACAGCTAATTTGGAAAAAATAACCCAAAACTAAACTGTGCTGACAGAGCTGTGTCTGTCTTTCTCAGAGCTGGCAATGAGCAGATGGAGGAGTTTCTGGGCGCTGAACTGGTTAACCTTCGTCTCCTGGCCTTGACCAGGGAAGAGCGCCTCCTCCTCAGCCCCAACCTGGAGCTTCATGGCCTCAGGACGCTGGCCTCCCCCCATGGCCTGGTTCTGGTGGCAGTAGCCGGGACCATCCACAGAGATGGAGCCTGTCTGGGTGTCTTTGAGAAAATATTTGGCCTCATCCGCTCCCCTCTGGAGAACAACAGCTGGAAGATTAAGTTTGTCAACCTGAAGATCAGAGGGCAGGACGCTTTGGGTGGGACAGAGGTGGTGGCACCTGCCTTGAATTATAACTCCACTGAATTGCAGCTTCTCTGCAGTTGATGCCACTCCTTATTTCATATTATTTCCCCAGGGAACGCTTGACTGTGCATGCCCTCTTGTTACTTATCTAACTTGCCCAAACAACCTGAGATCAGGACTGGCGACATAACTGGCACAAACCCCTTTCTTAAGTTATGTAAATCAGTCATGTCAGGACTGTACAGGTGGTGGACACTGTTGCATCTCGGTACGTCACTGATGTAACATCTAAACAGGACAAAGCTTTGGAAAAAGCTCTCGTATTGTTTTCTCTGCTGCTTCTTGTTGTGGGAACATTTTGCTTCAAACATACTGTACCTTGATGCAAGGCAAGTTTTGCTTTTGCATCCTGTGCCTTATTTTAGATAACATGTAAATACAGACATGGATGTGCTCTTGTAAATGTGTGTCATATCAGATATAATGATTATATTGCTGTGCTCTACAATGACAACTAGGTCACTACTTGCGAACATAAAGATATTGTGTTTGTTCACATGATAATACTAAGTCAATTAAAATTGATTTTGAACGCTATCTAAGATGGCGGTGCTTTTATGTGAGGAGTAAAGGTCAGCCCTTAATGTGTACACATGTTACAAATTAGTATTATGTCAACCAAGCTCATAAAGCAAGCGTAATCATGCACAGGTCTGATATGGGTGTATCTCAATGTCTAATATCTGAGCAGCAAACAGATGGAGGAGTTCCCTGGGTGCTGAACTGGCTGGCCCCATGGCCTCGGGGTGCTGGCCTACCTCTATGGTGTGGTGCTGGTGGCTGTATATCAAAATATGTACAGCAGCATTTGAAATTTTAATGGTTTTACCTCTCATTTTTATTTAATAGCACATCATACATTTAAATGCTGGGGATAAACATGTACCTGCGTTGAAACCGTGTGATGCAGTATACACATTGTGCCAAATCACTTGTGAGCAACCCATGTACAGTGAGTTATCCTGTGACTCCCAGCAGTACAGGATAGCGTATAATTCTTACAACATTTTGCATTTTGATAGCATAGTGCACAGATGTGGGGAGAACGGCAGCCTAGTCGTTAAGTGCTTGTTTGTTTTCCGTGTGTTCTATTTATCCTGGGGCGCAGCGTAATTTGGCACAAAATTTGCCTGATGGATGTAAGTCTCGTTCGGCCTCAACCAAAACAGAACAGAGGATTACTTCGAATTACTTTGCTTGTTCATACGGAGGCCAGATGCTGCGCGGCCCCGAGGCTCAGAGCTAAGTGTCAACTGGCCCCTGGAAAATCGGTGTGATCGCTTCATTCGTGGAAGTATTGTCAGGATGAACGGATCCCTTTGTCTTAGAAAGTCCAAGCTTTTCAGACAGATGTGATGCTCTGTGTTCATCACGGTATTTTACTGTGACTTCCACACCTCATACACCACCAGCATGTGTACATTGTGAATATACCTTAACCTGGCAGCTCTGTCCCAAAATGTGGGAATGGGCGGATATTATATGCAAGTATTCAATCCCCGTACTTTCCTTCGGCAGCCGTGATTGCAGATGTCATGACAGCCTGAAAGCCTCCCACACCACACTGGAATGGTTTCTCTGGGTGGTCAGACATCTGATATAAAAATAAACACATTCACTAGCTGTGGTCAGGAAGGAAGCCTCCATCATATATGACATTTTATTCTTTACCGGCCAACATGACATATGACATGCAGATGTATGGGTCAGCCTTTCTTGCCACAGCTACAATTTTGCATATTGCTGTCGGAAGGGAAGAAACACAGCAGGTCTGTCTTCACTGCCTCATACAGGACTGAAATCAGAAAGATCAGAAAGAGAGTAAGGGCCAGGAGAGGATACAGCGTCTTCTTCATTAACAAAGGACCTCAGTGTACTGTAAAACAGCCGAGCAACAACAGATGGGAGGCCCTGGGAGACTTCATCATCTTTGAAAATACAGGATTTATCACCATAGCAGCGTTTCCTGGTATTTTTAGCCCGATTCAGCTGAACAATACAGCATTTTCATTGATATAGTAAACAATATAAGCCCTGTTAATTGCACAAAACAAAATAATTAAGCTAAAATGCACTTCACATGCTCCAAATTGACTCCTTTTCCAGCAATTCTACTCCGTCATCCTCGTCAGGGCGCACAGGTCCTGGTGGGGCACAGACTACGCCACTATGACTCTGTGGCTTTAGTGGGAAATGTTACATGTGGGAAATTATTCTTGGCAGCTGCTTTCAAAGGCCCCTGGAATAGTTAATATCTGTGACTGTATGGGTCGGAGCCGCACGGCCCTTTGTGCTTTACTGGGCCATAGTTGTGGTCGAGGGGAAACCGCTGCAGCCATTGATCTCAGCCTGTTCACCTCTCAGAAAGAATAATAACAAGCTGCTCGCCTTCTGTCTTTATGGCACTTGGCTTCTCTGCTGTTTAATAAGCGGTTTGGCCACGGGCGCAGCTCTGACGCACGGGTTCAAAAATACCGCGGCAGTGGCGTCTGGTGAGGGTTTTGACTTTTTTTTTTTTGCTCCCCTCCTGTAATAGGAAAGTGTGTTTCTCATAAAGAAACATGCTAAAACTTAGATCCATGGCTCTTTGAAATAGCTAACGGGTGGTGAACCATGGAGACTGCTGCTTTAATTGTCCATCCATTTTCCCCCCCATCTTTTACTTTGATTGGACGTTAGGTTTGCTCTTAGAAACAGCCTTATTAGCTTCTCAAAGATTACTTTATTAAACGCTTCATACTGCAGCCATTTTTCACTCTCTGACAAGCTGATGGCTTTACAGAGCCATTAATGCCAAAGTGTATTTTTTTTTAATGTCTGCAGCAGTAATTCTTAAAGCAGGGCCCAGGGACACCCAGGTTTTCTCAGGGACTTCAAGGAGTCCTTGAAATGGAATAAGCCTCTTATTGATAGTGTTGATTAAGTAGAAATGATTTCAAATACACCAAATGATTGTCTACAATAAGACCTATAGTGTCACTTTCACTATTAACTTCCACCTTTTTAAATAGACATTTGCTCATATGGGTTTGTTTTAGCCACATAATGTCCTTATGTGACTGAAACAAAAAATATAAGTTGATATTTCCTCTCTGCTGCTCACTGATGCTTCAATATGACTTGACCTCATGATAACATGAGGCCAGAAGAGGGCAGACAAGCTACACCAGACAGAGGAAAGACTTTGATCCCTGGCCAAGAGAGGAGTTGGAGGTGGTGGTGGTGGGGATCCTTTTAACACTATTACGTGAGGAAACTCATCAATTCCTCCGAGCAATCTGAGTGAGCTGATGTTACCAGGCAATTTCTATCCGGCCACTGCCATGAGGAAAACTGTAAATTCTTCCAGTTTGAATTGTCCTCCATTAAAGTAATGGGCTTCTAAAAGAGAGACACGTTAAACTGTTGCCTTTCATAGGCACAAGAGCACGTATTTCACGAGTTATTGAAGTGTCAGTAATTTATCGGTACCCGCGGAAGGTGTCTGAGACAATTTTACCACAATGCTCTCTGCAGCCTGCACTCTGCGGATAATAAAGAACAGGATTTATGAATAGGAAGGGGCTCGATCAATAGGCCATGATATTTCTCCTGCTGACAAAACATTTTGGAGGAGATTTCAATCAGAGTTTTGACTGAGTTGTTTTGTCATTTTGTTGGACTTGCCCTCCAACCCAGCAGTGTTTCATAAACCGGTACACACACTAAAAGCTGCACAGAAACAACCACATAACTCGGGGAGGAGAGAATGAGGTCAACAGTGTTTGGCGTTGGTGTTAAAGCCACAATCCACAATTCTCCAACCTAACACTTTATTGTTTTCTGAGGAGGTGTTATATTTTTACTTCTTGTTTGGCTTATGGGGTTGACAAACTGCTGTGGCCGATTGCGAGGTTTCTGCTAAGGGTCAAAGTGTTTTACTTCCATCCTTACCTTTTATGTTGATCTTAACAGCATCTTGTGCGTCCTGGTCCTTTCCTGAAAAGGTCTAGTTAGACGCAAGATGCAGGCAAAGTAATCACATTTACATTTTAAGGATATTACACAAAGAGGGGACAAGTTCAACAGCATCGTAGCATCTGTAGAATCAGGTTTAGCCTCATGTTTGCTCGACCTCATGCGACCTTAAAGCCCTTGCTGGGAGTGCACTTTACTTTCTGCTTACAGATCGCCCCCATAGCATCACTCTTCATTACATTCCCCTGATGTCTGAGCTGACATCATTGTTCCGTTTCAACACAAATTGGTTTGGACCGACGAGGCAGCCGTTACAGTTCGTATCAGCCCTTCTCCTGGCCTGGCGGTGTATCCTTACACATGCATCATTATCTCACGTAAACAGTGGAAATGCGAGACCGCTGGGGGAACAGACGCCATTCAAGGCAACAAAAGCGAGGGGCTGAGTGAAAAGATCCTGGGCGGTGACACTCTCGTTTAGCGTCAATTAAAGAAAACAACAAGCAGAGCTCTTTCTGAAGGCAGCTGGGTCCAATGTGTTTATTTATACTGAGGCAAATATGTATGTTTGAAAGAATGCATGCAGACAAGGATGTTTCAATCAGGAAAACATGGAGGGGGAACAAAACGTGTCCCTCACATTGAGATGTACTTGAGTTGAGCTCGCGCACAATGCCTTCTCTCTCTCTTTATCTCTATGTTTCTCTGTCTCTCTCACACATAGTGGCTCCACTGTGCAGCTCTGCACTGAGTCCCTTTCGTATGCAGTGCAGGGGCCCCCGATGAGGGCCTTCCCTTGGCTCTTCAACTAAACAGAGAAGATGGTGTTATCACAACGCTGCCAGGAGGTTGTCAGCTTGTATTGGGCCGGGCTGACCGAGTGGCCGGTCGGCGGATGCGTGTCGATGCCAGGCTCCCAGCGCCTTCCCTCCGTGGACATCTGCTGTGTGTGGAAAAGCTGCGCAGTTTGTCTGTGGTTGCATCTTAATCCTCCATCTCTTCGGCTGCAGCCATGCCTGGCCGAGCAAACCAGCAGCTCTGCTCGCCTTGCTTGTATTAATTGCCCTTGCCTGGCTCGCTGTTTGCTTCTGATTACACTCATTAATTTCAATTCCCCAGGAAGCCACCACCATCGTAGCTGCCTTTAGACAGGCACTCGCACACACACATACAGACGTGCGCTCGCTCCCCACATACTGCACATGCATGGACAGGCATAAATGCATATTTGTATGGACTCAACCTTGCATTTCATGTTTGGTGTGAAATATTTAACATTCTTTAAATTGATTTCTTTGTCTCGGCATGTTCTCCTCATTTGGCGCCCCCACAAAATACTGCAATTATGGTTCATAAATAGGGGAAGCAGCTATGGAATAATTACATTTGGGTGGGTGGGAAAGGAAATATTACACTCCATATCTATCATCTTAAATCTTTTTTAATGTAGTAGCTTCACTTACTAATGCTAGATTATTAATACATTCTGATTTCTATCATTAGCTGCAGTGGAATTTTCCGGTCAAATGTGCATAATGTGTCTGTGCAAGAGAATAATTACATGTACATCTGTTGACAAT